ATCATGACTTGGGTAAAGCACGAATTTCAAACACGTATTACCGATTGTTAAGTTTTAAAAACATTACTGTTTATGAAAAACAATTACAAAATATTGAAACAGTATTTGACAAATCGAATTACCTTTGTTCTCAAAAATCAAATATAAATCAATCATATTACTCTTCCCGTAAATGTGGAATACAAATCGAGTTTATTCGAAAGGATATTAGTAAATTAAAAGAACAATATGAAACAATATGTCATTTAACAGGACATAACGTTGAAACACTAAATAGGCGTAAACGAGGTCTAGTTAATGGAGTTTCTTCACTTTTCAAATGGCTTTTCGGGACACCTTCTGCAGATGACGCAGAATATTACAGTGACGCAATTGATGCCTTAAAATCCCAAAATCACGATGTACAAATGCTACTCAAACAACAAGTCCATATTATATCGGATGATGCTATTACTGACTACAATAAATCAGTTATTGCGCTTCAGGTTAATGAGGAAAAATTAAATGAAAATATACAAAAATTCAATAAGTTCTCTACTACTGCTGCTATGCAAATAAATCGTTTAACTTATTCTCAAACTTTAATAGAACATTTCAATTTATTAAGAAATCTAATAGGTGGATTAGAAGATGATTTCTCAGATATCATATCTTCAATCTTATTTGCTAAACAAAATGTGTTACATCCATCAATTATAACTCCAAAACAATTAAAGGAAGAATTGATGAAAGTAAGTTTTATTCCAAATTATGATTTCCCAATCGATGTTCGTAATTATGACGAAATATATCAATATTATACTATCAGCACATTAAACGTTATTTATGATAAACAATTATTGATTTACGGAATTCATTTACCAGTAGTTACGAAGGAAATATATAATCTATACTTCCTTATTCCCTTACCAAATCGGTTTTCGAATTCTACTATCTATACCTATATAGATCCACCTTATCCTTATCTTCTGTTGAGCACAAATCAAATGTACTATGGAAAAATGGTAAATATAAATAGCTTCAAAAGCCTACAAGACCGGAACAGAATTTGCTCCGACATAACAATTCATGGAACGAATGATAACCCTACGTGTGAAGTCAAGTTAAAATTACATTCATTATTTTCACTTCCTATCGATTGTACAATCCGTACAGTAAAAACAACGATGGAAATATGGCATCCACTTTCCAAAAATCATTGGTTATTTGTTTTAACGGAACCAATTAAAGGAACCATTACCTGTGAGAATTTGGTCAATCCAATAATGGAGGTTCATTTCTACGGAACGGGTATTCTTTCCATGTTACCCAAATGTAGATGCTACACACCTGAGACTGTTCTTACCTCATCGTTTAATGAAACCGGGAATTTTACAAATTATATACCCGAAATTGACATTACCCAGGATGATTGTTGTATAAAACAACAAGAATATCTGAAGAATGAGGAAATGTCACCATTACGTCTCACGAATATAGATTTGAATCAACTTAGAACGGCAAAACATCAATTACAACAATTCGACAAAATACTCCAGGCTAATAGTAATAAACCTTTCATAAGTAAATATGAGAAGTGGTACAACATCGCTATTTCCAGCCTGATCATAATCAGTTTATTGGGACTATGTTATTTTTGTTGCTGCAAGTGTTCATGTTTTAAATATTTAAATTGGTTTAAATATTTCCCAAAACAATGCCATGAAAGCTGCACGAAAATCATATGTATAAACAATCGAAATGGTTCAGGAAGTGATCTAAGTGTTTACGAACCAACAATGCGGTTAAGTGAAATTGATCCTAAACATGCTATCGGATCTATTCAAGGATCCATACGTTCAATTCATGAAGAACTAAGTGAACCATTGTATACCTCACCAGGTGCGCGTTCTCGAAAATTAGTTAAGGACCCATCTGTAAAAATTTAAATTAAGGTTTCGTTTGGATTAATTTTAATAAATTGTTTAATCCAAACTCTTAGGCGGGGGGTGTGTTAGGTTCCACCCTGCTTATATCTATTTTCAACGCTCTGTATGTGTATTAACTTTTAGCCTGTATTGCGTTTTTCATTTATCTCATTAATTGTCTATGCATCATTCATATTAATCAATGTATGACCAATAACGCTTTGCATAGCGAAACCATACTGTTATATGAAACAGTTCTCCTAAACCATTTATTTTAATCGATGCATTACCAATATTTTTATGAAGCAGAACCAAACTTTATTATAAAAGACATTTTCGAAAGAATGATAGTTAGTTAGTTTTTTGACTAGTATGTAACTAATACTCAACACTCAACTCGACCCATGTAAGCTCTTTTTGTACACCTTTTAACAAGAATTAAACTGTTAGTAGTTTTGCCACTTGGTTTTTTCTTTAACAATTCCACTACAAATTGGAGTTGCAACAGGTTATTGAATTTAAGCAATAGGATTGGTTGAAAAGTCTTATAAATTTAAATACAGATTTTAGAATGAAAAGCAATAGTGGTTTTGAAAAGAATTGATTTGGATTGTTCATAAACTCGGTTTTCGCTGAATTTTTAGAATGCGATTGCAATAAAAGAGATATACAAGTTGTAAACAATTGGCGAGCGGCTCCAAAATTAATTTCGTTACCTCATTTTAAGAGAGTTACTAATAAGCCCTTGTTTTTCTGCTTCAGTATATTAGAATTGTCATAATTAAAAATGTATGATTTCCATCATGATTATGTTCAAAGTAGGATTTCTGCTCACTTTTATCCAGAATTTCTTTAGATGGATATGGATTCGTTAATTTACCAATTTACGCGAATCGACAGTAATAGTAACACTCCTATTTATTATAGTATACGCGAAGACGCGGCATCACATTTCGACACAAGCGATTATCCTATTCACAATAAATGGTGTATACCGCGGGTCAATAAAAAAGTTCCTGGTTTAATGAAAGATGAATTGAAATCCCAAATTTTAATCGAGTTCATAAGTATCAGTCCTAAAATGTATATTATGAAAGTCGATGGTAGAGAAAGAACTCCGAAAGTAAAAGGAGTTTCGCCAAGTGTCAAACGAAAATTGTCATTCAAAGATTTTCAGTTTGACAATGAAATTTGTTTTCCCGAATTCTCAAGCATACGTTTCCAAAACCATCAAAATTTCAGTTATACTATCCATAAATTAAGTTTATCGTCAAATGATATAAACGTTTTATTAAAGATAATAAAATAGCTACATTACCTTGGGGTCATTTCTCTTTAGAAACTGAGCATTAAGAAATTATAATCAATGTTTATTATAAAAAAACTTTTATGATTTAATTTTATTATTTTCTCACGCGCTTTGTATTATCTTATAGTGTAAGTATTATTGTACTTATCATTTTCTCAAGCGAAATCATACATTGTGTTCGCATATTGTATAAGTAATAAATATATCAAATAAACTGCTAGCTGAGCTTAATTGGCTGTACATATTAAATGTATATCGATTACATGTTTACTTAAATCAAAGACAAGGTATCAAACAAAGAATCTTTATTTCTTCTGGCGAGATCATACATTGTATTCGCATATAAGTAGTATAATGATATACATATCAAATAAACTGCTCTTGGAGATTAATTGTCTGTATATATTAAGTGTATATCGCTTACATGTTTACGTATTCATTCAAACAAAGTGTATAAAACAAAGTATCTTTAGTTTTTCTCGCGACATCATACATCATATTTGCATAGTATAATTGCAAATATAAAAGCTTCAGCGATGGATCGAATCGAGCTAAAATGGTTCAATTAATCGACTGGGTGCGTGGCAGGATGCAGCTGGTTTGTAAGTTCATTTTTTTTTTATTGAGAAATTTTTAATTTATACTCATATTAATATATTATTATTAAATTATTTTAGAGTAACAAAGAGGTATTTCCAGCCATCGAGGAGGATGTAGCGCCTTCCACGATTTCCTTCGTATATTTAGGGGTGTGGGAGGGCTACCAAATTTATATTAAAACTTATCAAACTATTACGGTTGATTAAGAAGAAAGCATCCAAACGAGCCTAGAGTAGGATATCCATTATAAGTTATAAAGGTATCTTCAAATTGAGTTGATTTTAATATCTTTTTTTTTTAAGATTACCTATTTATAGATACACAAATTTTGTTTTTTTTTTTTAATTTTTTTTTGTAAAC